AAATATTTGTTCCATTACACAAACCAGATATGCATTGGAGAACACAGGAAGGTTCTGAAAAGGTATATTCTGTGTTTGAGTGTAAGCAGACCCGCCAATCTCAGAGCACTGAGCTCTAGGGCTCAATACTCCCACACCTGACAGTGCGGAGGAGACATGCTTTGCACCACTCAACATGACTCCTCCAGGCAACGACAGGCTCAGTGTGACTCAGGGGCACAGCTACAATGAGATAGTCACATTAGAGCCCATGGAGGTTATGGGAGCCCAATCTGCAGAGGCCACTCTGCCTTAGTCACTACTGTAGTTATGCCAGTCTACCTTTCGGCAGACAGGGCAGGAAGTGGCCCCCGCCAGCCAGGTTCCCATGGAAGCACTCCTGCGCCTACCTCAACCACACCCCACGCCAGCGTGAGCTGCTTGTAGGGATGCTCAGACCACACCTGCCACCCTATGCTGTCCGCACAGGCCCTTGCTCTGGATTCAGACCATGGCCATTGCTTCAACAGTGAGGAGCTCACCCAAAAAGATGCAGGGGCTGCACAAGGGGCAGGGGGACCCAGGTACTGTTGTGGTGGACATGTGCAGCCCTGATGAGAGTTAACCTCTTTATTCTGTTACAAAGTGCTTCGCCTAAGTAGGCTAGATTCACAGGTGCACTCTAGCTCCTATGCAACTCTGACAATGATTTTCCATTGTCAACCTAGCATGTTTAGCCAGTTAAACTGGGTTTATGGAGTGGCCCAAAAGTAGCTGGAGCATAGCAGTGAACCTTGCCTCATTAGGGTAGGATCAAACCCTATCCGAACAGCATGCCTTAGAGAGGTTACAGATATTGGTGAGAGCTAGCTCTTTATCTAGGTCAAGTAAAATTTCTAGAATACGTAAGCAGACAACCCATAGTAATGTAAAATGGATTAAATATCACGATCTTTGAAAAGTGCTGAGGAGGTTGTGGTTTAAAAAAAATACAATACACCTTGGCAGAATGGATCCTCGTGTTTGGTTTCGTGACACAGAGACCACATTTATGACACCACTTGTTTGCATTTAGTGCCCAGCCACATTATTTGTGAACGCAAATCAAATGCTGTTTGTGCTCAAATGGCAAGTGTTTCATGGGCAAAACTGTGGTGCAGGTATGAAGATTTGGGGTTTGAGTCCCCATTGAATTACTCCCCTACCTTTTACAGCGGTAATGCCATTCAGTTAGTTCCAGTAGAGCTGCACCAACTTGAAACTGGAGGAACAATGACGACGCAAGCTCTAGGGCTTTTTGACCTACTACACGTGTGCTTTGGATATGCTTTGCTATTTAGTTAGAAGTTCGGAGCATAAAAGATGAGTTACGTGTGTTTTAGGTTGATACTATATGTGTATTTACTAATGTATTAAGTCTCAATTGCTGTTGCACAGATTTTTTCCATTGGACAAAATTTACTGGTAAAGTATAATTTAGCTTTTGAATATGGGTGCTTTATTTCACAAAAACATCCACACAAGATAGATTTTGGGGACACGGACAAGGGGACACACACACACACCCTACCAACTTGAGATCATGTCTGCAGAGCTCCTGCACCATAAAATTGAGCACTAGCGCACTGAACAGTGAGATTTTTGTATAAATGTGTAAAGAGAACTTGTGTTTAGACAGCCTGCATATTGTGTTGGGGTATTTATGGAGAAGACAGTTATGTTCTGATTTCCATGTTGATAAAGGTAAGTTACATTTTAGGATTTCAGAACTGGGAAGGGGGCCCCTAATCTATTTTTGCATCAGGTCCCTCAATACGCCCTTGGTGTGTCTCATTCTGATTTCCTATCCAGGAGGAAAACTACTGTAACACTAGGCCTTCAGGGTGGGGTGCAGTGCTTGAAGTGAGAGAAACACTCACGCCCCCAATGTGAAAGACTGATCACCAGGTCGCTTCTGAATATTTAAGAAGTGACAAAAGGCAGGCTCATGGAGCAACTGGCCCTCTGGGAAGAAAAATACTACGCAGATGAGCCAGTCTAGCAATGTTTTTTGGAGTGCTTATACAGTCCAGAGTTAGCTGTCCTCCTACTTAAGAATTAGCTATCAGCCACAACTGTGTTCTCTTTATTTGAAAGGAGATTCAATGATTAGACATTGTGAACCTTTCACGGTCTGAACAGCCAAGCTATAAATCATCTTTGCACTAAAGTGGTAGCATCCACTCCTCACATCAATAGTCCACATTGGCCAGTTTTGCTAAAGGAGAAGACTCTCTCTGTCACCATCCTAGAACAAGCCAGAGCCAGAGGTCGATTATATATTCTTTCTCCAGCTGCTGGAAGACAGACATCTGGAGTAGTCTAATTCCCAGTCACCCTAACATACATTGGCAGATGCCAGTCTGCCACCCTTAGTTCTTCGAGTCCTGCGGTAGAATATATACCCAGTCAACTAGTCTGGATAGCAGCACAAGCTAATCTGTGGCATCTATACCCTTAAGGTGCAGAGAAAGCAAAGGGTTGTCCATACTGTTTGTGTTCCTTAGCCAGCCATAAACTCTCTTGTACTCCCATCTCTGGCAGCAGGTCATCTGAAAAACAGGCAACTTACCAGAGCTGCAGGTTGCAAAGCCAGGGTCTGCTGTCTTTGCAAGAGAGAAAGCAGCATTTGGACAGCACTTTCAATTACCACCAGTGATTATGAACTACTGCTTCATGAGCTAGCCAGTTATCAATTCGGGGAGGTGGAAGAAGAGGGACAAATGTAAAATGAAGAGGCTAGCAAGAGTTTTCCTGGAGGAGGAAGGAAAAGTATTGCTTGGACAAATCATAAACCTTGGCTGTAACGACACACGCCTCCCAATTCATGCTTGGCAAAAAAAAAACAAAAAACACAAAAAACAAACAACCAAACAACTAAACTATCAAGCATTGAAGCAGCTGGTTGAGATTTCAGGAATTCAGAAGATATTCTCTCTAGAGTACTGATCATACACCCAAAACTAAAAAATGGTGTTTGAAAGTAATTTTGGTGCAAAGCCTTAACCTTTTACCTGCCTACTTTGGGAGGCATGAAACCCACAACATTTCCCATCTCACCCTTTCTACAGTTTAAAAACCTCACTACTGCAGATGCCTTGGACACAAAAACACTGCATAACAATAGCTACCAAGAGCCTGAAGCGGCACAATTATAAATAGCATCAGTGAGAGCTCCTGTAAGAAAAGGTTAGGAACACAGCACTTTCAAATCAATTGGGAATGGATGTTCATGCAGCTAAAGCTCCTGGGTCCACGAACAAGCAAGGTGACGGGGAGTTTAGATTTATCCTTTGAAAATTATTCTCCCCCCCCAGCTTTCCACTCAATACATCTCTATTTCCCTAGAAAGGCACAGTTGCTCTCTGAACAGAAGCCACTGTATGCCAAGATGCCAGCCCTTCTCAAACATTGCAAATCTCAGTCTTTAAAGGTGACTCCATCCCCAGTTTTCTATGCTCACAATAGAACACACTGCTCTGCTTCACTGTGCTTTCTCCAGCACTTCAGAGGGTTTCTATTCTCTTTGCCCTGTGCCTAGAAAGAGCAAATGTGAACACGTACAGAGTACAAGCTAATCCCTCCTCAGGCAACTAAGCCCCTTATCCACAGAATACAGCCCCTCCACCATGCAAACCTGAATACTGCAGTCCGAACAGCCACCTATTCACCAGATGAGGAGAAAGACAATCCCTTCCCCATTTCTCTCCCTTTACTTTCCTCAGAGGTGAAGAATTCCCTGTCAGTTCAAACACTGGAAGGAGAACTATAAACCAAAACCAAAGCCAAAGCCCAAGCCCCCTAATGATTCTCCCAGGCTTCTAGCTTTTTACAGTGTTGATTCACTAAAACTGCACCTGATCAGTGTGTTCAGGACAGCGTAAGTGAAAATTAAGGCCTGATCTGACTGACATGGTAGTTTTGCATAGTCAAAGAATGCATGATCTTATCCCAAGTACTCTCAGAATACTTTAAGAGTTAGAAACAAGGATGACATGCGCTCATCTGATACTGTAGAGTTGCATGGTATTTCTAACCATAAGCCATCATGACCACACCTGGGAGGTCTAGTTTTGGGAGTATGCACTATGGCCACTGGAGACACTTACAGGCCCAAGTGCTGTCAAGGAAGGGCAGGGATTGATCTACATGCAGAGGTACTTACTCCCAGTTTGCAGGCTGCAGTGTATTGTTTTTGCCACACTGTCCAAATAAAGCCCTGGGTTGTTTCAGAAATTAACTGAGTTTTCTATTTCCTAACTCCTGCCACTAATTTTTTGGAAGGTGGGGTTCCTTGTCTGCACTAACCCAAAAACAGAATCCAATAGGACTGTATTCTCTTCCCCCACCCCCTTTTCCACTTGCTGCCATTCTCCCCTCACCTCCTTCAAATGTTTCTGGCATTAAAACATTAGTGGCCAACACTAGCAACATCACTAGTGACCCTTAAGGTAGTGCATCAGTCTTACCAAAGGGATAAAAATGGAGCGATCAGGACTGCAAGCACTGGATACTATTTACAAAGGAAGAAGAAAAAGATCCATGCTTTTTATTTTATTTTTTTTAAAAACCCTAAATCCACCTACCCAATGTATTGGTTATTTCCTTAGGAAAACCTGCTTCCACTGTAAATTCTTGACTAGGCCTGATAATTATGTGAACTGCATCCATCTTAATTAGGTGATAAGCCTCTCAGGACAGGGTCTTCGTTAACTGCTAGTAAATGGCAAATACCCTGCTGCTCTTCTGGCACTTTATAGTCATCATATGACAAACCATTATGCAGTAAGGTGTGGAATAGCAATCAGAAAAGTCTATGCTGGATTTTAAAGTTAGGAGTACACTAAAAGAGAGGAGGCTGTTTCCAATATATTGAGTCACGGAGTCAGTGGCTGATGCTCAGCATATGTATGGTGTGGGTGGAAGTGGCAGTGACAAAATAGGCAACATTAATTTACCCTGCAGACAAAATGTAAACTCACCTGCAGACAAGGGTCGCGATGATCACACACCAAGCAGTGCAGCAGCAATCTGCATTTAAGTGCTCTTCACTTTTCCGATGGCGGCAGCACAGCCAGAACGAGTAGAACAGGAGGAAGAGGAGATCCAGAGCAAGGCAGGACAGAGCAACACCACCAAACAGCAACAAGGCCTGAGGAAGACAAAATAAAATAAAAATTCCAGTTACATCAGAGGCACCTCCATAGCATAAACATATGGCAGAAACAGATGACTTATCTGAGTCCCAGGGATCCTTCACTCATGGCATAGGTCACAGAATCCACCCCTGGACACAAGACTTTATGAAACTAAGCTTATTCATTAAACAGATACGTTCACAAGAGGATGTGCGGAGTAAGTCACAAATAATGGATGCACTATTGTCTTCCTGAGTCTGCAAGTCACATGAATGAGTCAAGATTCGTCTTTAATCCAGAGCAGAGATCAGTACTAGGGCAGCTGGTTGAACTGTACAGCTACGAGTATAAGAGTTTGTTTCCATTTCTGCAGGTCTCTTCATCTTCACGAATAAAATATTCCCTCCAAAATAAATGGTAGAGCAACACTAAGACTAGAAATCCAAGTGCACAAGTGGGTTTGAATCAGAGGGTGGAATTTATTATCCACACTTGAAAGACTCTCTGCTTTTAAAAATCAATCCCCAGAGCAGCAATATCTTAGCGGCTCAAGCTAGGTCTGTATGCTTCCACATACTGTACATAGACAAAAAACGATCATCTAGATAATACCAATGGAGATGGGAATATACAATAAATTTGAAATGCTCACTATCAGAACTAGTATGTGTCTACTTCAATTCATGTCTATGGTTTCCTTCAAATGATACCCAACTAGAAACACGAGTGCAGTGTTAACTCCAAATTTCTCATCAGAATCTCAGTGAAACTAGATTCGTTAACAAAAAACAAATGCTCCATTCAGAACATTCTATCAAATCCACACTAATGTAGTAAAAGGGATACTTCTGCTGATTGCATTTAATAGTCACCAACAACCAGATTCTACCCAGAAAGCAAATAAAATTTAAAAATGGCTTTAATATCTGGAATGGGGCCCAAGGATTTAGTGCTGACCCAATCGTCTTAGTAGTCTGCAGTTTAGATACAGATCTGTACCAACCATGGACAAAACAAAGGATTTTTTTTAAAACAATGTCATCTCCCCGCTCTCTCCCGCCCCTCCCCCCCCTTCTCTCACTACAATCCCACATTACAAAAGAGGTATTTGATTTAAAAACACCACCACAAAAAAACCCCACCTGTAACTCCTACCTGGTCAGACAACTGAGCTGAGGAATGTTGCAGTTACATGAAATGTGGTTCTAAGCAAAGGCTGTTACACCATGGACAAAATGCCAAGGTAACCCGCCTCTTAGAGGGAGGGTTTATAGATTTGTATTTTCCTTCCCACCCCCTTTCTTTCTGTCTTATAGCTACCCCCAGCTCCGTTAGCGTCCTGGGAAGTCTTGCAAGCTGCACAGTTCACTGTACTTCCAATCAAGCATGTGCCAGCCTTGACAGAACTTGATACCTGTCAAACATACATCATGAGATTTGCATCAGTTTATAGCCTGCCTGTTGGACCGCAAGTTGCCTACATGGCAGCATAGTATAGCCAAGGCTTTGACAATATATCCACAGCATTTACCAGAAGACAACTACTACAGATGATTAACACATACCTAACCAGACCACATGGAAAGATACACATATCATACCAAGAATCATACACACAGCTGAAACTATTAAAACGGGGGTGGGGAGGACAGAAGGGAGAGTTCCGTTCCCTTCACTAGAACACAACACATGGGGTGTGTGCTTTTAAGAGAGTTTCTAAACAAAGAGGGGTATTCAACAAGGCAACTGTATTCAGCTGTATTCCCGCTTCCCAAGGCCTGCCATCTACCAGCACACAGTACTAAAATAAATGCACCTGCCAGACTGAGATTCCTTTACAAACACCTTACATATGGTCCCAGGCAAACTGCACAAGGGAAGAAAAAAAATTCCCCCTTCAATGGATACGCTCAGAGAAGCATTACTGCCTGAAACAGGAGCCTCACTAATAATCCATCCCTTTCCTAACACACCATAGTCTTTCTTCAATGGTGAAGGTTTCATGCTGCAGCTCAGCATGCAGAGACATCAACTTCCCCCCATAAGAAAGATTGGTTCCTGTCACTTGTTGCACCCAAACAAAAAAGTCAGGATTGTGAAGTAAAGTTTTAATTTGTTTCTCTGTAAATATTCAGCTGAATGGGACTTGTCTGTACCTAGGAGCATGCCAAGGTTCTGTGTTCATTTCACAAGGAGCAAGTGTTTGTTTTCAGCCAATGGACATACAAGACTGGAGTAACTAATCCTTCCAACAAATCAATTTAGGACCCAGAGATACGCTGGCAGTGAAAGACTAGCCACTGCTTGCTTGCTTGCCAGGATTAAACTACTAGTATTTAAAGAGGGACTGCAAGGCTGGATAAATCCCTTACTCCCTTTATCCTGCAACACTAAGTCTGGGAGACCCTGATATTCAAGCCCCATTATTCTGAGTAAATTTAAAATTATGCACTTCGCTTTTCACCATGGAGAGCACAGATTCCCCAAGCTATCAGAGCCATTATAGTAAACGATGCAGGAACCATACTTATCTGGAGACATGGTGAAGGGGCAACATTTTAATCACTGTAACTACACTACTGGCAGAAGCCAAAATCGAGCAGTCTTTGAATGCGGGTGTAAATCCAAGTAGTATCAGCCAGATTGGCAGATGTAGCTACGCTGTAGCAGCAATCTTTCAAAATAAAAACAGTAGTAGTGCCTATGGAAGCAGTGGTTGTGCAGCACTGGTAGCATAGAAACAACCAAAGGACACTGATTTCAGAGAGATTCGATGCCCTGGAACTGCCACCCTTTGAGGCTGGAGTGGACAGCCTGCTGTACTTCCCACAGGCTTGCTAGACTCTAGGACAGTCAGATTCCTGGTAGTTTTTAATTTATGTATTTTGGTGTACCAAACACCCATTTAATGCAGGAATCAGATACAAGCGGGGAAAGCTGCATCACTTGCGCAGATTGCTGGTATTGATAGTCACATTAACAAAACAAACAAGCATCCAGATCCCAATGCCAAGAAAGGAAGTCCCAGAGCAAGAGAAAGGGCACAGTGGGAACAGACTGCCACTCCGGGGATGGCTAGCACTATCTGGGCACTTGCAAGATCATCCACATCATCCTAGTTGAAGGGACCATCACTGTGAAGGGAGAGGGTAGTTCAGTTTCCAGAACAGTGCACTTCTTGACCTCTACTAAGATCACATCAACAGGGGAGGTAATTAGTGCCAAGGGTAACTGGTTTTATTGATGTGCACCCCTATCCTTTGGAAAGGGCTGAGATCACCAACTCATTGTTCTTAGGCCACAGATTTCCCAACTGTGATCCATGGATCATTGGCAGTCCACAGAGAGATAGCTGGTCATGTGGTTTTGGTTCTCCTTTTTCCTAGCTACTAAGATTGCAACAAAAAACCCCTACAAATACACTAAATAAATACTTTCCTAATAGCAACATCTCCATATAAGGAGTTGCTGTTACACCCACTAAGTCATCTGACCATCATGCATGGGAGGGGAAGTGATCTGTGTAATAGCATATGGACAAGAGGTCTACAAGATAATGAAAGAAACCAAGATGATCCTACCTATAAGAGAGCTTGAGAAGCCCTCACTTGGGCCACTAAACAGCTTCAACATAGTAACTTTCAGTCACTGCTGAGCTAACCAGAATTTAAACTTGCGACCTGGAAAAGGAAAGCTCCCCATCTAGTCAGTCAAAGCCAATCCAGTGCCCAAAGATCATTTTAGGGATTGGCAGAGTATACTGAAATCATGAGATACTTCCCTCTGAAAGACTGTAACTGGGGGAAGGATGACGCAGGTGCAAGCGTTAACATTTCCCTTCAGTTCGCAGTTACATGTTCCCCACTTTTGATTTTACAGCACTATAGGGCAGGATTTTATTTGTTTAAAAAAAAAAACACGCACATTTTTACTGAGCGAACAAAACTTGTTCGAAGACTGCTGCTGCAGACAGGAGGAAGGAAGTCTGAAAGGTTGGTTTTGAGCACACAATTTCTTATTTCAAGTCTTATTAGGGTACAGTAACTTCATTTTCTGGTGCCAGTTCTATTCATTGGCACAGCAGCCAGGTTTTGCCAGTAAACAGATTAAAATAATTTCCCGGGGAATACACCACTATTTTAGTACAACATGGAGCTTCCATTAAACTTTTCTGAAGGAGGACACTAAAGCCTTCACATATCCTTGAAAAACAGCACGAAGTACTTACTGGAAGAGCTAACTTTCCCTCATCACAATCTATTGATCCATGAGAGAGCCAGTCATTTTCACTACCACAGTAAAATATAGTGCTAGTTAGTTATATGGCCTCAACAGCAAGCCAAGAGAGATGCCCTTAATTTTCCCATTGGACTTGTCAAAGCCCAAACCAAACACACCCACTTACTCTACACTTCAGGAACACTTACACTTCATCCACTGCTGTAATGCAGGTGTACAACGGTTAGTGAGAAGCTATCTCATCTACAGTGACATTTGGTACAGGCTAAACTACAGAGACAGGACTCCAATGAGCAAACTATCCGAGTTAAGTGCTGTGATAAGAATTTGGCTGCAATATACCTTTGTTGCATCTTCCACCAGTGAGCTAAAAAAATTGCTTCTGCTTAAAATTCAACTATTTCAGTCCACTGGACAGTTAGTTTAAAATCCATAAGTGTCTACAGTTTGAGAGGATCCCAACAGTACAGTTAGTTTAATCACTCCTGGACTGTGAACTATTTATAGTTTACTTTATAATTAGCCTTTGCCAGAAGAAAGCTTTCCCTGCAATCTGTGACTAAATCTAGAAGGAACATTACACAAGCAACTTGAGATATAAAATAAAAGCAGGAGGGGTTAAAGGAGTGTGGGAAGAGAAAGATGCTCACTCAGAAGAGCAAATGAAGCAAACTGGTCCACTGCCAATAGAGCACTCATATCTATTTATTCTAGTGAGTGATGTCAGTAAGGAGTGTGGGGAAGGGAGACACGACATCGTGAGGATATAAAGTAG